GGATTGTCCTTGTGATATTAGTACCAACGAGGTTCGTGATGGATGAGGAGACGAATACCTGGGATGGATGTGTGGATGTATGGATGTATGGATCTTTTCTAAGGGTATTGGGCATTTGGTAAGGAGTACTTTTTGAATTGACAGGGGATTTTATAAAAGCTTGGCATTTGCCCCTCGAATTGATATTTTGTCCCGTTCGCTTGTGGAGAACGTCATCTACAGACTACAACAGCACTGCCCGTTTTTCTTCCGTGATGGCATGGTGGGAAGAACGATACAATTACAAACTATCGCCTTTCCGAGTACTCACGTCTCCATTTCTTTTCCCTCCTGCCACGAATCATCTCCTGCTCCGGATATTATATCATTGGTTCAGACACCCAACCGTCTGTGAATCTCTTTTAACCTTTTTCGTCATATTAGAAAATCAAACTTACTGCCTGATCACACACAAACCACCTTTCGAAAATCATGTCGTCTACCTACAAATCCTTAACTCGTATTCATTACTTTACTACGAGTAGGTATTTAGAAAAAAAATAGGCCGCGTTTCGTAGGTGGCTTATCCAATAACCAACTCGAATGGGAGAGTTTAACGGCCAAACGGGTCGATGAGCAGATTTAACTATTGAACCCGATAAGAGCGCTTAATCAAGATGAAGGATCCGGCTATCTGTTCTTGTTGTTCTCTTTTTATAAAAATTATATTGCTGTCATCTTGAGAAAGGATTCATCATAGCACCACACTTCACATGCAATATATATAAAAATTATCCATCATGGTATAAAGTTTTCTCATGGCAATTCGTTGCATTTATAGGTTTGACCAAAACTCCACCACCCCAACCACCATTTCTCCGCACTTCGTTATGTATTTCATAACAATGTCCTAAACCGTGTAAATTTTTGAAACGCAATCTGAATATTCGCTAGTCATTATAAATTTATAGCTGTCCTGCAGTGTTGAAATCCTTGAGACCCTCGGCAAGACGTTGGGACATGGTTTTCTCTCCCTCACGAACCCAGACACGGGGACTATCAGAGTGTTAGTATACATTATTGTCAAGAAATTAGGAATTGAGGAATACATACTCGAACTTCTTCTTGTTTGGCTTGTCTGGTCCATCTGGGTTACCAACTGGGGTCATGAGGTAGTCCTTGTTCTTAAGGATGTAGTCACGGATACCAGTGAGGTAAGCGAATTGCATATCGGTATCAAGGTTGACCTTGACAACACCATATGAGATGGCATCCAAGAACTCTTGCTTGGAAGATCCAGATCCACCGTGGAAGACCAAGAAGACTGGCTTGTCCTCCTTAGCTCCAATAGCTTGCTTGACATGGGCTTGGTGCTTGCCGAGGAGCTCTGGGCGGAGCTTGACGTTACCTGGCTTGTAAACACCGTGAACGTTACCGAAACCAGCGGCGATCGAGAAGTATGGGGAGATTGGGGAAAGAGCTTGGTAGATGGCAAGGATATCCTCTGGTTGAGTGTAAAGGGAGTTGTTGTCAACATCCTCGTTGTCGACACCGTCTTCTTCACCACCGGTGATACCGATCTCCTATAAAATGAATTAGTACGCGTCGTCTCAAATCTCCCAAATTGCTTGACATACCATCTCGAGCCATTGCTTCATTGGTGCAGCTCTCTTCAAGTATTCGGCAGTGGTCTTGATGTTGTAGTCAACCTCCTCCTCGCTCAAATCGATCATGTGGGAGGAGAACAAAGGCTCGCCATGCTCCTTGAAGTATTTCTCATCGGCGTCGAGAAGACCATCCAACCATGGCAAGAGCTTCTTGGCGCAGTGATCAGTGTGAAGGACAACTGGGATACCGTATGCTGGTGCGAGAGCACGGATGTAGTGAGCACCGGCGATACCACCAGCGATGGAGGCCTCTTGGTTACCGTTGGCAACACCCTATGAGATAATTAGACACTGTAAGTTCTGATGGAGCAAGATTCTTTTCTAACCTTTCCGGCAAAGTAGGCGGCACCTCCTTGGGACATTTGGAGGATAATTGGGGACTTGGCATCGCGAGCAGCTTCGAGGGATGCTACGACGGTTGAGGAAGAGGTGACGTTCTGCCACAGTTAGTTGATGTCTACACACGCATTCTTTCAACTTTGTCAGAACATACAATGGCTGGAATGGCAAAGTTGTGCTCTTGAGCGTAGTTGAAAAGCTTGAGGACATCATCGCCAACGATGACTCCGGACTTTCGGCTGAGAACGTCTGTGCAACCCATATTTTCGATTGTGATTGTGGATGTGTCGTTGAAGTTTGGGGTATGTAGTTTGTAATTTGTAGTTTGTAGTTTTCAAAAAGGGGTATCTGAGATTTGGAGAAAAAAAAAGAATCAATAAATGATCAAAATCGTTGAACAAGATGGAAAAGGTTTTCTTTAGTAGAAGGTCATAGAGAGGGGTGGAGTATTTTGGATTTTCAGGACCGATACCGTCACTTGGTAAATGACGCTAATGGTGGGGGGCTGTTTCCAAATGGAATCCTCAACATATCAATTTGTTGGCATTCATTGGTCTTGAATCAGAAAGATATGGAACCCCGAGTTGAACCTCAGTGAATGTGACGTACCTTTCTCACTTGTTTCTTTCCAATGAATTCTGAATCTTTGACTTTTCGATGGGTCAAAGTTAAGGATACGAATAGATAAGCTACTTTACAATATTTACGATTCAAGCTGGCAGTCGTGAAGGGGGGGGGAGGTGAGGGGGGGAGGTACTCGGTAGGTTACTTCCATCCTTTTAAAGGAAAATCGATGAAGTGTTTACAAGTGGGGTTCCGGCGAAATTGACCTCATAGCCATGGCAATAATCAATCAATGTAGCATTACCGAAGAAACCACGGCGAGATCCTCCGATTCATCATGCTTCGTCTTTGTTTAAACATCCTCTCCTCGGGCTTATTATTCGTTATCCTGGGCATGCAGCCAGAGGAAGCGAAAACTTTATTCCGGTCAAAGCAGAGAGTAATAGCAGAGAGTAAAGGTGTAGCTACTAGGTACCTAGGTATCCATGCTCGAAGGTCTACAGATTTACTCATATTCAGAAGCAAGCCACAGATTCAACTGGCGAAAGGGGTAAGACGAGTAGGTGCTGCATGTATAGAATAAATTGATGAATGAACGGGCATATTACGACCAATGAACTTCTTTCTACGACTACACATCGAATTGCGGCTGGACTTCTTACGCGAAACAATCCTGCCTTCCCAATAACCTCTACCCCCTTCAACTCATGAATGAATGACAAAAATCGGTGCTTTTAAGTGATATTTACCATGTCTCCTCAAGTTAATCGGATCCAATGATGCATGTGTATTCTCTTTCCCATTTGAGAAATGTATATTATTACATCTAGGTGTCACTCAAGTCCTCATCAATGTCTTTTTGATTCATCTTCAAACTCTAATCCTGAGCATTGATTTTGATCGACCTTCGAACAGACTCAGGAGCTCCCCTGAGTTGTATATCAATCTCATAAATACCCAAATGTTTGACACGGTCTTTCTCTTCCGTCTCCTGAACAAATTTGATATCTTCCGGCCCAAATACAACCCGCTTTCCTTCCGAGTCCTGACCTAAGATGGTCTTCATCTTTGCGGCTATATCCGCGGTTGAGACCGATCCATAGATGGGAACCTTTTCTGGTTTCCCTGTACTATTCTTTGAAGCTGCAGCGGATATTGAAGAAGATGACGCTAGGGATGGTGAGACCTTCTTTACCGGTAGAGGAGCAACAGTAATGGCCGTCTCGAAGAAGTCTATATAAGGTGGTATCAAATCGGCTAAGATAGCTGTGGAGCGTTCGGGCTATTCACAATCAGTCAGCATTTCTTGTCTTTTAATTTGTGGAAAAATTGAAGGTAGACGGACGCTCAGCAATTCAAGCTCAACCACTTTCTTGATATTCAGTCGACGCTCTCCGCTGAGGAATTTCAATGCCTTCTTCTGATCTTGCACTGGCTCTATTCTGGCGGCTTTGCGCTTTCCAAAAGTACTATCAGGAAGAGCGACATTTTTCCTCGAACCAACTTGTTCAGATCCTGTAGGTGTCACATAAACAGCAAATCCTCTGCCATACAGTTTATTTCGCATCAATCCGGGGGGAACCTGAACAATTCTTCCTATACCAAAATTAGTCATTGGAGTTTTTCATGGCTTTCGGGTGCATGGAAACTTGCCCTTTCTGCCAATTCCTATGACAGGTTTCAGTAACTGAATTGTAACATTATGATCCTTTTCTTTTGCAAGCTTCTTCTTCCCTCGGACCTGCTGGCTGCCTGAGAATAGCAGTCCGTCGCCGAAACTACTAGTTGTCCGGCGTAGGCATGCTAGGCATGAAGGTACCCGCGATTGTAATAATGAAGCCATTGAAAGACAATGAGTTGAGAAGACCTCCAAATAATCGTCGTGAGTTCGAATCGCCAAAAATATTTGGTTTTGCTTACTTGACACCTCAGTTTAATTAATTCACCCCTCCACTAGCGTCGGAGTATCGGCATGAATAAAGACTGGGGTAACGACAAAGTGAAGTCTGTATTGCCAATATTTGGTTCGGTTGATATGGATAAGAGATTTCGGAATACCTTCGTTTCAAAAAGTATTTTCCTCAGATCATTCCATGACAGTCGAGCATTTTGTACTGCCTGCGGAGGAGGGATTTCAAGGAGTTGACACATAATCCATTGTTTTTACTGAGATCCGGAACAACTCTCGCAGCGGGGACTCGATCTTACTACACAGAACTCATAGGCTTCAACTCCTTATTTTCTTGAACACAGAAAGAAGTCGCCGAAACGGTTTAATTCGAAGGTGTGTTTTGTGATGGAACAGTGATTATTGAAATTTATTCCTTAGCCTTTCAACATCACCTCTTTCCTCATCACATTTTCTCCTCAACCTCATCTTTGATTCAACTCGTCCAGCGTCTTATCCGACCTCCCCCCGAAATTCCCGACGATCTTTAGTTTGACGAAAGCATGCCAGATAAACAATTCACAACTTTAACATATGCCGCGGGCGCCTCTCTAGCTGCAATTACACTCGTCTATGTATTTGCGCCAACCTTCCTAATGGACGAACAAAACTCGTCATCTAACACGAGGAAGAAAGGAGTGGTAGGCTTGGTCAATACTGCCAATGATTGTTTTATAAATTCAGTACTCCAGGCCCTTGCTGGTTTGGGCGACCTACGCATATATTTGATTCGGGAAACGCATAGAAGGGACTTGGATCATTCAGAGGTATACAGTCGAATTGTGGAGGACCCGGCGCGGCAGGGTTTACCAGCATGGAAAATCGAAGGTCTACAAAAGGGCTTAGTTACCACGGGACTGAAAGATATTTTGGACGCATTGAACGAGAGACCTTTATACAAGAAAACGATATCTGCTGGGCCATTTGTAACTGCACTGGAAGCGGCTTTTAAACAGAGGATTAGCCGGCAGCAACAGGACGCGCAGGAGTTTTTGCAAGTAGTGGCCGAGAGATTAAACGACGAGTATCATGCAGGTCACAGGGCGAGAAACCATGCAAGGGATTTGGAGGCTGCCACTGCAGAGTCGCACACTTCAAAAGAGGGAACCGTGAACGAAGAGTTGGGCCAGCTTAGTTTGAATGAGAGCACCCTGCCCGAGACCAGCTCTCCTGCGACAAAAGCGCCATCAGATTCTTCTCATAACTCAGAAAAGGCAAGCTCAACTTTGTCAAGGTCGCCCCAAGAAGGTGGAGAATTTAATAGTGAAGTTGACAAGGAAGATGGGTTCCCTTTCGAAGGTGGTTCTGAGTCACAAATTGAATGTTTAACCTGTGGTTTTAAACCAAGGCCTACACAGACAACATTCTGTTCCCTTACATTGACTGTTCCTCAGGCCACATCTACCACATTAAATGCATGCTTTGACGGAATGTTTAAAACGGAATATATTGAGGACTTCAAATGCGAGAAGTGTAGATTATTACATGCCTTGGAAACCTTCGAACAAGAATATTCTCAATCGAATTCTCAAAAATTTAAGGAGAAAACTCAAATAGCAATCGACAAACTAAAGGCTGCTATAGAGACAAACCCGGAAGAGGAGCTTCTCGATGTTGAACTACCAGATTCGAGATTTGCTCCGAAGCGAAAAATCGCCAAACATGTCCGTATTACCAAATTCCCAAAAGTCATGGCGATTCATCTGTCGAGGTCAATCTTCGACTCCAGCTCAACGACAATGAAGAATTCTGCCAAGGTGGCATTCCCTGAACAGCTCCCACTTGGAGGTTTATTGAACCGACGAAAGTACAAGCTTCTTAGTCTAGTCTGTCACAAGGGAAGCCACCATAGTGGACACTATGAATCTTTCCGGAGACAAAATATTGTTGCTCCATTTTCAACTCCAAATACTTTCCAGCCATCAGTGGCGTATGCCAGATCTTCAACGCACACCCCTTCATTACCCTCAACCCCTCAGACAAGCGCTACTCCAAGGGATGATGGTGACAACACTACCCTCTCATCGACCCCAGAATTACTGTCCTCAAAGACAGCCTCTACCACATCTCTTTCAAATATAAATGGGCGCCATTCGTTAGACTCTTCACTTAATAATAAACATCTTTCTGGCATTAATCCAACATCAGCTAGTTCCATTGCATCGTCGTCTAAGACAGCGGGTCCCACATCAGCTCCCCAAGATTCCGATACTGGTAGCATCCGCTCCTTTGGACGTTCGGCTCGGAAAACTCTGTCCAAAGTTTCCAGTACAATCAGTCGATCATCCCCCGCTTCATCCTCGCCGAACCTATCTCCATCCAATCCAGAAATCAGCCGGACATCTTTGACAGAAACAGTTCGTACTAAGCGGAAAAAGAAGACGGTTGAAAGATGGTGGAGAATTAGTGACGAAAAGATAAAAGAGAGCAAGACTAGTGAGGTTTTGGGCATGCAAAAGGAGGTTTACATGTTGTTTTACGAGCTAGAGCGGGGAGAGGAAGATTCATAAAAGCATTTTGGGGGGATGCGTTGCATGAAAACATGGGGTTTGGGTTGTATTTTGTATATTGATTGAATATGTATTTGATACCGGAAGCAGGTTTGGACTGAATAGATGAACATTAGGTAGTTTCAGCGAGAAAATATACTTTAAAGCGCTGGGAAATTATACCATGTATCCTGAGTAATATGATTATTTGCATTATAAAAGTACTTGACTATGGATGTCATAAATGACTACCGGCCAAACGCAGGTAGATATATAGCATATTAGTCGTCCAAAAAGAGTTTGTGGTTACTACTAGGTAGGTAGGTATCAATCGTCTAAATGGAGTAGTTACCGAACATCGAAATCTTTAGATTCACCGCCCTCAGATCTACCAAATCCACTTTCGAACCCAGTAATAAATTACCTACTTGCTTAATAAAATCGATTGCTTATACCTTCCGCGTGAATCAATTCTTTGCTGTTATAAAGTTCCCGTATTAACATATAAATACAATACAAATACAGCTACGGTTTATAAAGATTACCCGAGTTCACGCGCTCGCCCCTCCAAGCTCTAGAAAAACGCGCTCTTCGCGTTCTCATTCCACGAACTCCAAACCGCGATCGATACAGCACAATTGCATTGCAACAACACATCTCATGAACATGCGCGCAAATGGCTCCTGGCAAACAACCTCGATATGATAGCTCGCCTTCACCGCGCACGAGAGGAACTTTTCGCGCGAATAATAATGATAATGGGACTGATATATGGGGCAACAGAGCGAGGGGAGGGTCCGGAGATACTTGGATAAAGAAAATAATGGAAGACGATGAAAACAATGGGGAAGATGCGAGTGTAGATATCGAGGGTGTTACAAGAGATATTGGGAAGATGAGAGAGGAGGAAGCTAATGGGACGGGTAGAGGATGGGATACAGAACTTGAGTTTACGGCTCGAAGTGTGGATATTAATCGTAGCCCACGACTGAAAACGAATGGTATACCGAGCAGGATAGAGGAGATTATGGAGCAGGAGAGGAGTTTTGTTGAGGATGATGAGGAGGAAGAAGAACATGAAGAGGCAAATCATGCGAAGGTTCAAGAGAGGCCGGCGAGGAGAGGAAAGTCCGTTGATAACCTTGAAAGTCGTAAAACTTCGCGGCCAGTAGAGGATGAGAATGCGAAAAAGGAGACAGTGCACGCAAAATCGGAAGAACGGAGAGAGCGCGTGCGGAGAGAATTGGAAAAACGGCGTGCGGAACGGAGACCAATTACTTCGTATGAGAGTGAGGATAAGAAAATTCCTCAAGAAAGGCAGGAAGGAGCATTGCGGAATAGGTTGCCCCGGGAGCGAAGATCAAAAAGCGGCGACTTCTCGAAAAGCAATTCATTCCATGTCGACAATCATGTACGCAGCATGCGTAATGATAAAGAAAATGTTGTGCCGCAGGAAGAGAGACCATTATCCCGACTAGAAAGAAGGTTCCAAGGGGAAGATGGCTTGAAAGCAATACAGCGGGCCCGTGACAGCAGATCAAGAACCGATTACGACCAGAGGGTTCCAGAAACTACCGAACCACGGGTAAATTCTGAATCCAACCGTAGATCTCTAGAAAATACTGAACCACGGGTAAGGGCCGAATATAACCATAGAGCATCAGAAAATATTGAGCCACGATCTTTGGAACGACTTAAAGTCAACGACAAAACGGATAAGATGAACGAAAAAACAATACTTGAGCAAGAAGGAGAGAATATACGTGGGACGCCTATCACAGTATTTCCCGAAAATGAGAAACGTCTAAATGGAACGACTTCTAAACAAGAAGATTCCCTTCAGATCTTAAGGAATCTTTCTAAAGCCATTACGGGTACAAGTGGAAGCGGGAGAAATAGTCCCGGTAGGTTGGATAATAATCTTGAAACTCCGGTGTTGTCAGAAAGATCTCCCTACGAGCTTGAACAGGTCTCTGAGAGGCTTCCAAATTCCGCACCAACTCCACCTCCATCAGCGCCTATCAACCCTCTCCTATTGCCCACCCCAAAAGTCACAGGCGGTTGGATCGAAACCCCTGCGCCACCGCGAATGCGCACCAGCGGTAGAACACCCAAAGAACAACCTCAGATCAAAGAGGAACCTTCCTCGCCCCGCAGCCACAGTGAGCCTTCCAAAACTTCCCAGTCACAGTCGCGATCCCGTCCAACTCCAATAAACAGTGCCCCTACTATCTCCGCCGCTGCCGACCTCCAACGTATAGAAAAAGAAGCTCGAGTCGATGATTCCACTACAATCGATCGAGACTTCTCCCTATTTTTAAAGAACCAACTTACGTCTCCAAATTCTGAAACTGTAGAAATCAATCTCGATTTCGATGAAAATGGCCAACCACTTTCTCACGAAGAGAAAGAAAAAAAGTTGGAGGAACTTGCGTTCCTTCGTATGAATCGGAGTTTAAAACACACTACGAGTAGTATACGAGATGCGAGACATGGCATTGAAAGACTGGAACAGCAAGTCTCATCATCAGGTCCACATTCGCGCTCACCCAAAGAACTCGGCATCCCATCCCCAAAAAAACTCAGCATCTCATCCCCCAAAACATCATCTCGTCCTTTTTTCTTAGATGCTCCTCTAAACCCTGCCTTGAACCCAAATGTTCACTATCTCATGATACCCCTTCCCCGCCTCCGTCACCCTGGAACCAGAAAACTTACCTGGTTCGGATTACTATTTACAATCTTCATAACGTGGTTTGTAGCTGAATGGGCAATGTGTGAAACGTATTGTCATCCCAAATACTCAAATAAAGATGTTTGGCACCCTTCCGATCCGTTTTGGCCCTGGGCTATTCCAACCAAAATGGATCAGTGGACGGGTAAGGTAGTCAGTAGTGGAATAGGAGATGCGTGGGATTGGTGGAAGGGCTATGATGAGGAGATCAGGATTTGGAAGGAGAAGATGAAGAGGGAAGGAGTGAAGATACCTAAAGCTGTGGAGCTGGGAGATGATGAGGTGGTAGACGAAGTTGTGGAAGATCACGCGGGTAAATATGATGAAAGGAAAGGGGGAAGTAGCTGGTGGAGCTGGGATAATGATGAGATTGTGTAGCAATGCATTGGTATAGTTTAGCGTGCAAAACGTGCTTGGATCAGTTGATGGATATTTGGTGTTTAAAAAGATGGACAAATTCAAGATGGCGTTCAAGGGAAGTTTGATCCAGGGATTAGACATGCCATGTTGCATTGTTGGGATGGATACCTGACCTGGAATCCCCATAGTTGGATAGAGTCAGATGGTGTATGGCGCAGTGTTTGAGCTCGGTCAAGTTGGTGAGCTGGATGCCTTTTGGACAGGCCGAATGGAATGGAATACATATAAATTCCCTGCTAAAATTTTCGCAGATCTAAGATTCAAGTGAAAGGTGAAATGTGAAATGCATGTGAGGTGGGTAGAAGGATGAGTGATGTCAAATCCACGGGATTTTAGATACCTAGGTAGTTCTAGGGCTCGCATCAAACCTCTTTAGAAAGAATCTCTAATCTCTATCAAAGATCCATTTCAATGAAAGTTTATTTGCATCGCCCAAAGCATACGGGGCTTAGAAGCCACTAGTTGCTTGAATAATTTCCAGTGTTTCATCCGTCCGAGGCGGTAGAGATAACTCTGTAACTGCTTGAAAATCCTTACTAGAATTCAATTTGCCCAGGTTTAAGACCCGGTAGAGACTAGCGAGTGGAATCAGTGCGAATCTGTGTGTGGGTGTATTCTTGCCAATACCTATTTACTTCCAAACTATGCTGTACTGATAAATTTGCCACCGAGATCATTTCAACCTCGATTTTTGATTTGACAGCAGTTTCTATGTGTTCATTGGCATTGTTACCGCACGCACTTCCATTTGAAATTTAGATGGTCGGTTGACTAGATATGTATGGCTCCGAAAGGGCTTTATTTCCGCAGCTACCAGAGGCATCCACTGAGGCCGAAACTCTAATCACAACTGAGAGATTGAAGCTACAGATTCCGGAAGTAACAATATCAACAATGTGATATTCAAATTACTAGTCGAGAGTATTTGTTTCCCCCTGCGAGTAAGATGATTACTCCCAATTCCAGCCCACTGTTGCTACTTCCTGAGCGCCAGCATGTTGTTTGTCCATCTGAACGAATTCACTTCTTCCCTTGCAGCAAGTTCAACATTTCATACTGTCCTGTGGATCTCCCGTAATGGGTCTTCTCCACGTAGTTCTTGGCATAATCTACATCCCTAAAATTCGGGGTCTTCCCTTTTGCCTTCTCAATCTTATACTGCAATGCCGTAATCATTGTGCCCGTTCTCCCATGCCCATACCCACAATGAACGAGCGTGGGTACTTTTGCATTCAAATACTCTTGATAGGCCGTTTCCATCTGATCCAGAGACGGCGGAGTATAATCTGGCACGGGAAGATGTGTGTAGATGATTCGTGGATTGGCATTGGTCAATTCGGCTTCAATCTTGAGACAACTCGGTTCATCGCCGTTGAGACAAATCACGTGGCCGATCTTGTGTTTGTGCAAGAATGCAATGCCTTTTGCGTTGATGAACTGGGAAGGATCGCCTGGAGGAGAAATGTAGTTGGGAGAGGAAGAACGGTAAAGAGTGTAGGGACCGGGATATGCAGTTACGGGTTTCCAGCGGTGGAAACCGACGTTTTCGGCCTCGCTTGCGATGTCTTGGGCCATGACATCGCTCTCTGTGTGGGATTTGGTATTGGCGGCGGAGAGCATGTTTATTGCTTTGGAATCGTAAGTGAAACGAAGGACGTGGTACTATGGTATTCAGTATGGAGTGGGAGCAGTGTTTCTATATATTTTAATTGGAGACAGTACAAAGGGTAGAAGGAACATAGAAGACAGAAAGAACACAAACAAAGAAAATGGGTATATAGAGAACGAAAAGAATACAAAAAGTGAAAAGAACATAGAGACTGAGGAGAGTTAGATTTTGGAGAGTAGAGAGAATGTAGACGGTAAAGAGGGCAGAGGAATCAAAGCACTTGTCATCAACATCAAACAGGTTCAAATTCAATATCTTTCAAGAAGTTTTTTGAAATTCTTCAAAATTGACATAGCAGAATAAAGGATGTTTGTACTTATCATGATGAGTTAGAGTGAATAATGTAGCCTGATATCTATAGATAACGGTATTCTTCAGATATAACACCAGACGAATGTCTTTTGATGTAGTGTTGGACGTGCTTTTTTAGAAAACCTATCCTGGCAGAAATTAGAATTGAGCAATGCGGTTCAAAATTTCAAATAACATGTGAAGAATATAGATATGCAGGGTAAGTAGTTGATAATTGAGCATGAAGTTAATGTAGTGTCTCATTGACTCCTACGTGCATTTAAATAGAAGATCATAGCAGACAGTAATTAGATTATCAATTAGCCGAGTCGCCCCTATCCTTCAGGGAAGGAGATAAAATGAGGTTTCGAAGTGCTATCAATGTGTCTTACGTCAAAGTGTCTTTCTCCTATGGATCGAAACTATCAACTCGTTCAGAATTTTGTACATAGTGTTGGTAGGCAATTAGGGATGGGGTCGGATTAGATTGGGTTTTTGTTGGTAACCACGTTATCACCGTATAAATTATGTTAGTTGAACAACATCAAATTCCTTGTCTAAAATGGAATGCATGTTAAACTTGCAACTATGAACGCATATGACTCGGGATAACTCGAAGTAATGTAAAAGACACTGTTCACAAGAGCCCAAACCGTGTACGTGGGACCTCAGGCAACTTGCCAGAATTACGTATTAGTCTCATAAGAGCCTTCGATTTTCTAACACACATGACTTGTCTGGTGGAAGAAGAAAAAAGAGCCATGGTTCTGTATATAGCAATCAAGGTTGTAGAACGGAGATATCCACTATTTGCCCATTGGAAAGCGTGTTAGTCACAGGGCAGTCAAGTTATTGGAGGACATATTTGAATTAGATATCATATTGGCAGAATAACCATGGAACCTTTAAATGCGCCAGAAAAATTTATACATCAAGGTATTGACAATGTATGAGTACAACTCATACTCAACCGGCAGCAATTTCCTCTTCATCTTCCCATTCTCCTTTTTCTTCCATCTCCTCATTTAGCTCCATCTCTCCCTCCCCTTCTAGACCTTCACTATCCCACTCATCGACGTCCATTTCGTCATCATCTTCGTCTTCGTCGCCGCCTTTCTTGTTACCAGCCTTGGCCTTCTTTTTTCTCTCGACATTCTCCTTCTGAATCTTCTTACGGACTGCCTTTTCTTGTCTCCTCTTCTCCCAGACCTTGTCCATTTCCTTAACTTCTTCCTTCGATTTATGAATATACTCGTGCCACATAATTTTTCCGTCACACACGCCTTCCTCAACCTTTGTCATTCTTAGCTTCATCCTTGGTCCTAATTCCACCAATTTGATAGCCCGTTTTTCAGCACCGCTTCTGGCACCCTTGACTTGTCCATCGCGGGTCTTTTCTTTTTGGCGCTTGTTGAGAATCTTACGAGTGCGCGTCTCAACCACTTCAACCTCTGCGTCAGTGTCAACCTCACTTCCACTTGTATTATCTGTCATATATCCAGCCCCGTCTTCTCCAATCATGTAATCGGCAATATCTTCCAATTTTCCGAGGTTTGGTATTCCCTTTCTTGGATTTTTGGAATGTAGATATTGTTCGGCAGCGTTCAATCTTCGCAATGGCTTCGAGAGACCAATACGTTTGGTCGTGATTGCGTAATGACGAAGGTTAATGGTATATGTGCCATCATCTTCACCTTTAGTCGGCTCTCGATTGAGAAGCATAACTCTACGAATGGATGTTAAGGGTGTGACATTAGGAGAGATCGGTGGAAAAAGAGACTGGAAAATGGTGGTTGTGAGCGATTCGAGATGTTTGGGTATCTTATTTTCGGAACTCGATTCTGACGCAGGAGATATGAAATTATTCATCACAAGCTGATTTGGTCAGTTATTACCCAGTTGATTGATACAAGAGACTGTAGACGTACCAATGGAGGTGTTGTGTATTCTTTTCCACCACCTTTAGGATGCTTCAATGCCTTCCTCACATCTTTACATAGAGAGTATTTCTCTACGTTGAAATGTAATGTTGGACCTCTTGGTGTAAGAGCAAGTCGCATGTTTGTATTTCCGGCCTCTGATCTCGAGAACAACATGAGATGACTGACACCCAAAGGACCTGCCATTGTGAGATAATCTCTCAATTTGTTTGCTCTTCTCTCCTTCAATCTTGAGGCCGTATCTGGTTCCATCATCCGTCTAACATCCCTTACCAATTGACTAACACTTGGTCCGACTTCTCCTGCACCAGCTCGAATTACCATGCTTTTCGGGGATCGTGAAGCTTGGGAAGCAGGAGTTCCCTTTGCTCCAGCTGGGTTGTTGGCACCAACATGGGTGCGCTTCTTAGTACGTCTTCTCGCCATTTTTGTTGTTCTGAATTGTTTGATGTTATTTCTTTAGGACTTTCTCCTCGTAACATTTTCTTAAAGGTAGAAACTTTTTTGCGCGGCCAATCAGATAAGCGGATCCGATAAGGTCAAGCAGATAAAAATTATTTTCTCTAGCCTTCCTACTATCATTCTTAGCTCTTCACACTCAATCCATAACTTTAAAACCATAATCATCGAAAAGATTGCGCCAACATTGAGAATTCTATTGATTGAAGACTTTGGTTCAATACAATTCTACGCATTAGTATCTAGTCTGACGAAATAGCAATCATGTCTTCCGTGAAGCGGAGGAAGACCGATAAAAATCCATCTTTGGAGGGTGTGAAATCGAAGAAGACAAAAGAGTCGAAAAAAGGCTCCCCCACAGCTTCCCCAGAGTCAATTGAGGATGCTGCAGATAACAGAGTTATCGAAGAGACTGAGGAAGTTGAGGAAGATGAGGCCCCAAAGTCTTTTAAAGATTTGGTGCGTAATTAATTGTCTATTGCAATATCTCTTACTCACAATTTCAGGGTATCGTCGACTCATTATGCGAAGCATGCGACACTTTAGGATACAAGGCCCCAACTCCCATTCAGAGGGAATCCATACCACTCGCACTTCAAGGCAGAGATTTGATCGGTCTGGCAGAAACCGGCAGTGGAAAAACTGCTGCATTTGCTTTGCCAATTCTCCAAGCTCTACTCGATAAACCACAACCCCTCTTTGGATTAGTATTAGCACCAACTCGCGAACTCGCATATCAAATTTCCCAACAGTTCGAGGCTCTTGGGTCTGTTATAAGAGTGAAATGTGCTGTCATAGTTGGAGGAATGGATATGGTACCGCAATCAATTGCTTTGGGCAAAAAACCTCACATTATAGTTGCCACTCCTGGTCGCCTTCTCGATCATCTAGAAAATACAAAAGGCTTTTCATTACGGTCGCTCAAGTATTTGGTCATGGACGAGGCCGATCGACTACTTGACCTAGATTTCGGACCTATTCTCGACAAAATCCTGAAAGTTTTACCCCGAGAGCGACGAACATATCTCTTTTCCGCAACTATTAGTTCTAAAGTCGAAAGTCTTCAACGAGCAAGTTTGAAGGACCCATTACGAGTAAGCATCAGCAGCAACAAATACCAGACTGTCTCAACTCTCATTCAAAACTACATTTTCATACCACTAGTACACAAGGATACATACTTAATCTATCTCTTGAACGAGTTTGCAGGTCAATCCGCCATCATTTTTACACGGACAGTCAACGAGACGCAGAGAATAGCAATTCTGTTACGAACGCTTGGATTCGGAGCCATTCCGCTACATGGACAACTTTCACAATCTTCTCGCTTGGGTGCTTTAAATAAGTTCCGTGCAGGTTCAAGAGAAATTCTTGTTGCAACGGATGTCGCTGCTCGTGGTTTGGATATCCCCTCGGTTGATGTAGTGTTGAACTACGACATTTCACAGGACAGTAAAACATACATTCATAGAGTTGGACGTACTGCTCGTGCAGGAAAATCCGGACACGCAATTAGTTTTGTGACTCAATATGATTTGGAGATTTGGTTGCGTATTGAGGCAGCATTAGGAAAGAAGCAGGACGAATACCCGATGGTGAAGGATGAAGTTATGGTCTTCAAACCTAGGGTAGAAGAAGCTCAAAGACATGCTAGGAATGAGATGAAGAATTTACACGAAGATAGAGGTAAGAAGGGGGCAGTATTGAAAGGAAGAAGACCTGCGAATGGTGCTAAAAGAGGTCGCGATGAAATGGATAGAGAAGAAGGTTAGGAAGTGCACATATATGTGATTCTGGGAAAATAAAAGGTCCAATACTTAATATAATATTCAGTGTATTCCACATTTCTTGACTACCCTTTGAAGTATTTGCCATCTATTATTCCTGTATAATGCTTTGCCCTACAATGTCTCGAGATTGTGAAGTTTCCGTGAGCGTACATCTCGGGGATTGCGTTTGCCGAGCCGAGATGCGCCAAAAGTCTGGGGTAGCGGGGCAATAATAACAGTAAATGTCACTCAGAATCAAGCTCTGATCATCCTCCATTGTACATTGATTGTTATTATGACCACTTCGCTTTGTTCACGGTCGCTCCATAGAGCTTCCCGTGTGTTATGGCGTTCCAATGGCTTCACTCCAGCGATTAGGCACATCAGGCGCAGAGGATTAGCAGATGCTTCGACAAATGATATGACACTGCCTCTGAAAGGGTACAAAGTATTGGATATGACTCGAGTGCTTGCAGGTGTAAGTCCAAAAATCAAAAGTTACATAAGGCTTCCCTGACCATTAACAGCCATACTGCACACAAATATTAGGAGATCTTGGGTATGATTTGCCATCCCTCATGTCGTTATCTAAGCTCATAAATATAGTGCAGAAGTAATTAAAGTCGAGCATCCGACGAAAGGTGATGATACTAGACACTGGGGACCTCCCTATGCAAAATACTTGGATGGATCAGGGAAGGAAGGGCCTGGAGAAAGTGCATACTTTTTTGCTGTAGATTGACCTCATATTCCAATACACCGCAAGTTTCACAGCTCACCAATTACCAGGTTAACCGGAACAAGAAGTCCCTCGGATTGTCGTTTAAACATCCATCGGCAGTTAAAGTCCTCCATAAACTCGCTGCAGAAAGTGATATTCTTGTTGAGAACTATCTACCAGGTTCACTGAAGAAATATGGAATGGACTACGAAACACTGCGAGAGATAAATCCACGACTGATATACGCTTCTATCACCGGCTATGGCCAAACTGGTCCATATCGAAACCGAGCCGGATACGATGTTATGGTTGAAGCTGAGATGGGATTGATGCACATCACTGGAAGTAGGGACGGACCTCCAGTGAAAGTGGGGGTTGCCGTAACGGATTTGACGACTGGCTTGTATACTAGTAACAGTATTATGGCTGCTTTACTGGCAAGAGGAAAAACAGGACGGGGGCAGCACATTGATGTTGCTCTATCAGATTGTCAAGTTGCCACATTATCGAATCTGGCGAGTTCGTGTTTGATAAGTGGAGAAAAGGATGAAGGGAGATGGGGGACTGCTCATCGTAAGTGATTCCAACTCTTGTTGAGAACTTTATCTAATAACAGTGCTAGCATCTATCGTACCATATCGTTCGTACAAAACAAAAGATGGTGATATCCTGTTCGGTGGAGGAAATGATAGATTGTTTGGACTCCTATGCAATGGGCTTGGACGCCCAGAGTGGAAAGAGGACCCACGATTTGTCATTAACACAGCAAGAGTTGCCCATCGAGCAGAGTTAGACAGCTCTATAGAGAAAATCACTCAAGACAAAACTACCAAAGAATGGCTGGATATTTTTGAGGGATCCGGGCTACCTTATGCAGCTATCAATGATGTCCAAGGAACATTGAATCATGAGCACGTGTTAGCAAGGGATATGGTAAAAGAGATGGATCACGAATATTGTGGTCCAATTAAGATGGTTAACACTCCGGTGAAATACAGTGAGAGCAAGCCAAGTATACGAACAGTACCTCCTATGCTAGGACAACACACAGATGAGATTCTTAGAGATATCTTAGGGATGGATGAATCTGATATTGAAGCATTGAAGGCCGAAGGAGCTGTAAAATAGAATTATATAGATGTCTTGGGCATTCAAATGCTATAGTTGCCCTCTACAGATGTCGTTGGGTCTTGTTGCTCTTCAACACGCAAGGCATTAGGCTAATTTATAAGGAGTCCAATGCGATTTAACCTCATCACATGATTTTTAAACATGTGATTGCCAGTTTATTCATCACCAGACCACTTTTTGTACTCTCTCATAACGACATCTACAAGTACTTCCTAGAGCATCAACTCCTACCCTTTTCGACCGGCTGAAGCTGTATGTTCAGAAGCTCCGTCATAATTATATTTTGCTGGGATCTATCAGTGCGCGTGCCGACACGTCCAGTACATCAATTGTTTTTGGCCCTTACCATTAATAATATCACGGCTTTCAATTAAGTCAATTGACTTCGGTCAATCAATATTATACTCTTTCAATCTAGCTCATTAATTCTAGATATTCATCACGCTTGCTGCGGAACGGTAGCTTTGTTAATTCTCGCCGGCGCAAATATCATTGCCTCCACTGAATATCAAGCAACCACGTCAGACATGGACGCGCCAAATAATGCTCCAGCTTCTGCAAATGGATCAAATGATACAACCACGGGCGAATCGTCCCCTCCCAAATATGTTCCTCAATTCTCTGCCGCGACCGAAATGATTCTTCAACGTATGAGAGCAGGATTATCTGGCGGGCTGTCCAGTATTGGCATTACAGGGACACCACCGGGCTATGAAGAAATGCGCAGGAACGTTATGTCGGGGATGAAAACTACGCAGAATATGGAAATAACTACACCACCACCAAGATATCAAACTAGCAAAAAGTCGACGCCCAAGTCTAGTGCCACACCTAGAACACCCAAAATTGAGACTCCGACTGTATCATCCAATAGTGCAGGAACCAAAAAGAAGCGAAAAGGACTCAAGACTGGACAAAAGCGTAAAAGAGTCAAGGATGATAGTGAAAGCGCGGACGAATCTGAAGCTTTGAGTGGTCTAGGCGGAGATTCGGACTCGGATGATTCGAGCAGTGCGATGGAAATGCCAAAAATTACACAAAGCGGAAGACAAATAGTGAAGCCGACTCAATTTGTACCTACCTTGCCTGAGACGAGCTCGCGGAAACGATCGTCTGCATCAACAAATAAACGAACCCAAAATCAAGAACAAGCATTATGCAAGAGATGCGGTAGGGGCAATAGTCCTCAGAACAATATGATAGTCTTTTGCGATGGGTGTAATCTAGGGTGGCATCAAATGTGCCATGACCCTATAGTTTCAGAAGAAGAGGTGAAGGATGAACAGGCACCGTGGTATTGTAATGATTGCGCGAGGAAGAGGGGTATTAGACCGGCACCATCTAAGACTGACGGTGTTAGCTGGGCCGGCAAAACACTTGACCAGGTATTTGTTTTACTTTGCTTTCGTACTCTAAACGTACCAGCTAACAGTCTTTGCAGAGAAGGACATACCTAGCCTTACTGCCTCATCCCCAGCTAGTAGAGCTTCTCATTAAAGCCTCCATTCTGCACCCAGATATGCCTATATTCCCCGCCAATACTCCGCCCCTCCAACCCCGCCAATCACAGAATTCATCTCGCCCCACAACCAATCACATCACACAACCATTTCCTCCCTCCGCTACCTCCACAGCGGGTCTTTTCTCTCGTGCAGAATCAAACCCCAACGCACCAATGAACTTTATTCGCAAAGTAGCCCCCAATTCCACAGCCTCTAATATCACTCCTTCGCCAATGTTTACCTCGTCATTCCCTCCGGCTCCAGCTTTGACTCATGCTTCTTCCGCTCCACCAACACTACCTCCACAGTCTTCGTCAAACATGGAGTCAGATGGAAATACAAATGGGATGGGCAATGGACAGGAAGTGTCTCAGGAAAGCAGAGAGTCCACACCAAATAGTCCACCATATCCAAAAGCTGGGACAGGGCTTATGAGCAAATTAGGCCCGGATGATGAGGATATAGAGTGGTTGGTTGATAATGATGATTACGAGGCTTTTAGTCATACAGTCTATGATGATCCTGGTGAAAGGGATTCTGGGGGTATATGAAGAAGGACTGTGTATAATTGATAAAGAAAGAAGCTGAAAAGTATAATCAAGAAGACAGGAGTTAACAGTAGGTTTTTCTGAGGATCCATAGGTCTTCGCGGGAAAAGCTCCTATGGATAGATAGGTATATTCTGAGCTGGCTTGGTGTGTAGCTGCTTGTGCTGCATTTATTGCTCGCGTCGCAAAGATATGTACATTATATTCCCGATTGGGTATTGCTAGCAATGTATATACATATACATTTGTCATTTGTCATTGTGTATTTGGGCAACAAAAGAGAGATCGCTTCAAACTATGATTGCTTAGATGCTTCAAGGATTCATTTCTAGTTCAACATTTGGGAAAGGTGATTCAGATTTGGTGATATGATATTCATGGGCTAATCTTTGTTGAATGAATGCAAGTCATGGTTTTCTTAATTCATGTCGATGCTTCTGGTGTCTTACTTTCATGATAGGATGTGTTGCTATGAGTTGGGACGGAGCTGAAGATGTGGACATGATCTTCCGCTGAGTTCATTCATCCTGGAAGGTCAGATGGTAAGCTTTTGACACATTTCGCTATTCATGTTTCGAGCATGTTGAGGTGAGATACAATGCTGCGATATAGTGACTCAACTCACTCCGGGGGGGAGCGTAGATAGAGACGATGAGGAAAAGAGAAGGCGACGGACGGGGTCGAATGGACAATTTAGTTCGGATAGAAAAGGGGGGAAAGAGGAAGTCAGATCTTTCCAAGTGCACTACTCCTTTGAGAAAGAAATTATGATGAGAAGTTTGAATCGCTGATGAATGACGTTGTGTGATTAGTAAGCATGAAATCTCAATTACCACCAGAAGCCAATGCGTACAACTTCCCTGTCCATCTAGCGGTTTATCATATCCTACCCCAAGCTGCTTCAATGCTCAAGTAGAAGCTTCTGTGAACGATTTGCCTGCTCAAGCGACGGAAGTATGATGGTACAACCTTCCGTCGTCAATAAAATTCGATCCCTCTTTACCAAACAGCAGTCTGCGCCAAATTTCCAGGTTCTGTCTGATCTACATCTGGAATTGTGCTCACAATATCACACGTTTTCGATCGCACCTGTGGCACCCTATCTCATTTTAGCGGGAGATATTGGGCGTCTTATTGATTATGAGGGCTACCTAGCATTTCTTGCAAAGCAGACCGCGCAATTCGAAAAGGTTTTCCTAGTTCTTGGAAATCACGAGTTTTACCACCTCTCACACAATAGCGCTTTGGAACAAGCCCAAAGACTCGAGAATGAAGCAGTCTTGAACGGTAAACTAGTTTTGTGTCATCAGAAACGATGGGACATTGACCTTGGGGATTCACAGACCACAATCCTGGGTTGTACACTTTGGTCTAAAATCGATGGTGGCGCAAGAGAGGCAGTTCAAACGAGAATAAAAGATCTCCAAAAGATAGATGAATGGTCGATTGATGATCATAACACTGCACATATATCTGATCTGACATGGCTTTTCAACCAAGTTAGGAACATTCAGAACCAAAACAAATATAGGGCCGAGGGAGAACCGGGAAGGAAGATATTGGTGGTCACACATCATGCGCCAACGATAGTTGGTACATCTAGTCCAAAGAACTCTAATAATCCTTGGGGTTCAGCATTTGCTACTGAGCTTCTTGGGGATTCAAGTATGAGCTGGGTTGATGTTAAAGTATGGGTTTTTGGACATACACATTTTACAACGGACTTTGAGAAAGATGGTATACGAGTCTTGAGCAACCAGAGAGGTTATGTACCTCCAGGAAATGAACGAAAGAAAGATGAGAAATTTGAGGAAACCGCGTTTGATCCGAAGAGAGTATTCGGTATCTAAACACATTCTTAATTCTACTGGGGCTGATACATTCTCCACGAAGGATATCGAACGAGAGATAACTGAAGATCATCTTCGGCATTCGAGTTGGACTTTCTCTACAATAAATTTGATTATTTCTCTCGATAGCCCTCGGAATCTCCAATCTCGACCTGTTGAAGATATCAAAACTCTTCTTGAACTTCCCGAATATTGAATTATTCGTACAGTCTTTCTCGCATTTTGGCAAGCTTTTCATCATTCTTAATTGGTAACGTCGTTCTTTTGGACTAAGCATATCGTACCTTCCCCTTGGAAGTTTGGTGCCAGCAACCTACCTTAACCTTACTCCACTTCCCCGATTTCTCGCCTTCTCGCCTTCCTTTTCGATTTAATATCAATGATACCTTGCTCGTGGTTGCAGATCGAACAGGATTTTCCTCTCTCAAACTTCATATTTCCATGCACAAATAATATTCTAGAAGCTTCACTTCTTAACCCGAGACTCACAATTACTTGCAAATATGGACTGGCCAGACATTATACTCCAAGGGTGTGCTATGATCGGACTCCAAGTCTACTCTTGGAATTCCTGGAGAATCTTCATCAACCATGCAGTTGTTTCTGCTCCGAGTTGGGGCGTTTCCAGACTTACAATTGGGCTGCTAGCTGCCGCTTCCATACTGGAACAGGTATGTCTTCACAACTCTCATTGTCTGTATTTGCTGTGCGCTTTAATATGCTGAAGAATGGTTAGATCATTGGGATGATTGTGTTTCTCTACAAATACCACGATAACAAATCTTTGGCATTCGAAAACATCGTTTCGTCTTCCATTATCAATGTTTTCGCTGCCTTTTTGATCGCTTTTGACTACCACAGGAACGAAGATGTCAAGCCGTTCCACCTTGAAAGTGCGAAATTATTTGTAGTTGTATCTTATGCAGCTTTTGTGGTCGTGGGTGTTCCTACTTTGACTGCGTTCGTTGTGATACCAACTCCAGTAATGTGCGGTTTTATTGTTAGTCACATAATCATATGTGCTTTCTTGGGTTTTGGTAAGAGCACCGATGAACGCGGCCCTATTCTGGGGGTACAGTGGTCGTTTGAAAAGGATTTGGACAAAAATCCATCTAGAGTGAAGCCAATTTCAACTGCTTCTCTGCATTCTCTTAAAGACAAGTCAGACCCTGTAAGCCCCAGTCTCAATGTCCGTACCAATTATAATTTTGGCTAATTTGAACCAGAATGATCATGATAGAGCTGGATCAGAAGATTCGGTCATCATTATTCCACCTGACCCCAAATTTTCAAGCACAAATTCAGAACCAGAACCCCAAATCTTGGGGATAAATATGGCCTGGACGATATCAAGTCTTGTGTTGCATTTTGCTTGTACGATTGTATTGTCAAGGAACATTCAACATCTGGATCTGACCGCTTCTAAAAGAGATGTGACCACAATTTGTCTTCTCCTTGCCACACGGAACATATTATCATGTCACCTTATTACTTTCGCAGCGAAGAAGAGCGGCGATGTTGGGAGTGCCGTAGAGAATATGGTCCCTTTCAATGCTTGGCTTTACTTAATGGTTCGAGAGTGTGCAGCTCAGAACCAAAAAGTTTCTACAGGCACTCTGAATTGGACAGAGCTCGCCGTCTTCATCCTTCTGGGCAGTGTATATCAACCAGCTACGGTGCGTTATCCAGGGGGGTGGCTGGCGGCAATTTTAATGCTCGTGCATTGGTTGGGCTTTTTAAAGTCTAGCATTCGTGCAGCTTCATTAGGGACAGTTACAGAAAATTAGTAGCTTCTCATACGATGACTGCATTTCAACCACATAGGAAGAATGAATTCAAGGTCTCAGCTCAAAGATTATATGGTAATTATCAACTTTGCGCAAAGGTGTTTGGTGTAGAGAAGCGAAAAGGGAGGCGTTAGCGTCGAATAGGGTTCAAATCGTGCCGTCATCTGAGCATTGGTATTACACACGTATATGAGCTCTTACGAGCTTTAAGCAACAGGCCATCAAATGTAAACATTAATAAATTTCATTAACTTTATTTAATTTATATATCAAGTAACCACCGTCTCCATGGTATCAAAGTATGCACGCAACACCCTTATATCCACAAAAGCAGACCACCATCCACCCCACGGAAATGCATGATTATCCAAACACCTCCCAATGCCCATAATATCCCAAAAACGCCCAATATACTTAATACACTTATACACAACCCAGAAAATTCCCACCTTTTAAAATGCCTTCCTTTGTCTAATAGCTCCTAGACCCACATCATCATAAAGGCGGCCGATCATAATATACATCAAACTCCTGTTTGACCCGAATGCCATCTCTCGCTTGCCCCCCTTGACTCTTTTTACTTTCCTCGGGACTCATCTGCATGTGTCCCACATGCATATTAGCTATGTGCACACGCTCGGGCGCCCGAAATGGTTGTTTAAAAACGGGCGCTTTGAAGATCCGCTCGCGAGACGAAGAGCGGAGTTTTGAGAGACCGAGACCAAAACGTCCCTCGGCTTGCTCTAAAAATTGACGGTCCGGATCGCGTTCTTGGGGGTGAGGGGAGTGAGAGGGGGCCAAGGAAGATTGGGAGTGTGGGTCCGATTGAGATGAGGGAGGAGGAGGAGAGACATCTCTTCGTCCGAGAAATAAACCGGCGTCGGAGCCTAGTCGCTTGAATCGACCCTGCATTCCTCGGAATCCGTCGCCGATGCCGTGGTAGCGCCCTCCGGTACTTCCGTTTCCGTTTTCGCTACCGCTGCTGGTCTCGCTGGTTTGCTGGAGCTCGATATCGTCGTGTAAGGTTCGGGCGTGGTCTTCGGGGGAGTTAAGACCGTCTTTTTGATCTTGCGGCATGTTTCGCGAGGGGTGGAGTATTATGTTGAAGAGGGGTCGACAGGCGGGGAGACAAGCCGCAATGATATACATGCTCGTTTCAAGGATAGTATATAAGGCAAGATCGACGGCTGCGCGGGGAGTATCTGGGAATAAGGATTGGTTCGCGAAAGAGACGAAACGGAGGATAGATGTGGCGAGACCGCTTGGGGAATGTTAGTTGGGCTTTCGAGGAGGGGAAAGAGATTTATGTACCTTGATCCGGTGAGGAGGGTAACGCCCAGCCCGATCTTCACCTTCCTCGTCATGTTGAGTCTGAAAATAAATGGTAATGGTAGTAGTAACATAACGATATCGGTAATGACATTCGGTAAACTAGCATATAAAAATAGCTTTTCGATATCAAAATGACATTTTCCTCCCACGATTGTTTTGTCCCAGAAATAATCAACGGGTGTGCATTGGAAGAGCATCATCATGAATAAAATAGTGGATGATATGACGAGGATGTAGATCACAAAGTAGGTTATCATGCGGTAGAATGGAACCGTGAAGATACGGAGATACATGGCGAGGATGGAGAGTTTGGGAAAGGTGACAGCGATGGCGTAGGTGGCGGGGAAGAACATTAAGAGTTTGTAGAGGGCGAGGAGTTTTGAGGGAGCGCTCAGCTCAATAGCTTCAATATGGTGGCCTACTCCGCAGTAATTTATTCCGACTATAAAATGCGATTGTTAGACATAAATCCGGTAGAATGTGAAGATGTTTGAGACATAAAATTACACACGTACCGAGACCCTGAGCAGCAAGCAACACGGAAAATATCAAGGCTGGCATCATAAGAAAATCATCCCAACCCCGCGGTGTGTTGTGAAGCCACCTGGAAACAAATCTCGCAAAGACGAAGAATATATTTAATATAATACAAGCGATACAAGTAACGACGAGTTTGTGTCCGTTATAATTTTCCAGATATCCGGGCGGAAATTGTGCTGCGGCGGCTTGTGCATCCATCGTGTCTATTATTTATATATTTCCGAAGTCTTCTGAGGGATCCCTTATTATGTACAACTGTTTGCCGAATACCCTTTGACTGAAAGGAGCCGAGGAAATAATCAAAATTGAACGGATGGATGCTTCTTATCGTTCATCAGTCGATTCGATCACTAGATTTCGCTCTGTCTGCTCAATTTCACCTGCCCACTGTTGAGAATATTATTCGAAGCATTTCTGAATTAACCAACAAACAAACAAAAAAATATAGAGAAAAGGATGCGGTGAGATAGTTTGCAAAAGCGTAAAAAGAGAGCACAAAAAAAGAGTAGCATCAGGAAATATCGAGATAGATATGAATCTTCTCCAACACGTATGTAGACCGCAATTGCCAACCGGAAGGACCGAAAGAAAACAAGCAGACCCTCAAAAATACTCTATCTTCGCCCGAGCAAATCGAACTGGTCTGATCCTCCAAATTTCAAATGGCACAACAGGTATCTGCATCTCCATAATCTTGCGGACATGCCATTGGTTCGATTAACCCTGGCGCGTCCCCCCATGTCCTCCTCGTAGCTCCCATACTACACCACTACGGAGGCTGCACACACCCAACTTCCCCATTTTCCCTACTGCCACTCTCCACTATCTCATGCTGAACAAGGAAGCTCTGAACAAGCGCATAGCGTAAGCTGGAAGCTGGAAGCTGTGTTGCCAGGGCAAGTGGCTAGTGCCTACGGGTCTGAATTGTAAGCGATGTCACATATGCGCCGCAGGGTCGCAGCCTTGCAGGAATACGGTTGTGGTTGCGTTTGCATGGGCAATGAGGGCCAACAGCGTTTAGATTGGTTGATGATTTTGTGCAAATGCCTGGTCGATAATGCTGCTGTGTGGCAATGCTGTTGAAGAAAGTTGGTCTTGAAGATATGATGTGGGAGCTGAAAATGAATGGCGCAATGGCATTAAATAGGGGGCCCAGGTCAATATTCAAAAGTCAGTGCTAGAAACTCAAATCTTGGACCATCTATGATTTGCCAACCCCTTGACCAAATCGAATCAATGATTGCTTCTTTGCATACGGGACGGAAACTTCGAGTTTGGAAAAAGTAAGCAATGAGTTCTTCACTAATCTAACCATCTGTCGATTCCCAAAATGAGATGCGATCCTTTCCCGGCTACTAATCAGTGATCATTCTGTAGCTCTGCTTTACGATTTGCTATGATTCATCTATCGACTCCGTTTGAATAATTTACAATCCCAGCATCGCACGTGGATGTATGGTTACACGCATGGCTGACCGTCATGGAGTCCTGGTCAAATAGCTGTATATAGTTTAGTCGACCCGATGCGGTGACCTGTCCGACAGGACCTCGAATCCTTTCAAGTCTGTACCTCCGAGATGGAAGACGGGAAGTCAGGAATTCAGGAACGAGCGATACAATAGTTCAGAAGCCATGCTTGCTTGGTGGAATGAACGGTCAATTGTAAATACCTGTCGTATTCATGTGCTCGGTGTCGATACAATATCTCCTTTTTCCAAAAGTCTCTCATGGCAAAATTCGTTATCTAGATCTTCAATCAAGGGGGGAATAGATTGAACATGCAAACATACGGCCGTATATTCTGAAGTTTTGACGATTACACCGTCCACCAACCGTTATGTTCCGTTCCAATTATAGCAATTCAATTGAATCTACTTCTTCAGTATTCCCAGTCCCATCGAACCATTAAAGATAACACAAGACCCAAAATCGTATCCACTGTAAGAAATGCTATGCTTTCTCTTTAATTTCCTAGCAACCGCTATGTTGGTAAGGAATATCACTCGCGCAACTTTTACGGAGTCAGCAGCAGTTGCCCGCTTCTTTCTTATCCGTCGAATCTCATGGCCTCGGTTCGGGATCTACAACCCTGTTCGAAAATGTTGATAGGCAACCGTTTGGGGTGATCATTCATAAATCAGGATTCGACCGTGAAAATAATCACGATTTTCTAGAAGCTTTTTACGAAATGGCCACATGTTGCGTAGGATGTGAAGCGGATATAAGGTTATTCAGCACGTGGAATTCGATTCCTGGTGTCTCAGAGGCAAACTTAATCAGAACCTCTCCACAATTATATTGGTGTTAAGATTGGACTTTGGGGATGGAAAGGTATTACTTTGTCATGTAAGTATTAAGCAACAAAGGATTTGAATAGTCAGAGGAAATGCTATCTCACCGGACCTTTTTTTAGATACAAAATACCGGTCAATGGTCAAGGACAGCAAGGACAGCATCGGAAATCCTGATGACCTTTCGGCGTTTGTCTCTATATCTCGAGGAACAACAGCACTGATATCGGGAAGCCCAATGATCAATCCTTATATTCCTAGTTGAAATTCCGATCACAAGAAATGTCCTGGTACTAATTTGATCGGAGATAAGTAATCGAGTACCGAAAGGTTCCTGATTCAATGCTGTAACTATTGACAAACTCCTCCCTGAACAATATGCATACTCGGAACCATGAGGATGCCATCAACTCTTCAACCATCTCAATCATCAACTTCCCGTCCCGTATGTAATCCATCCTAGCCATTTCACTGATCACCAATAGTCCATTCCCATCCGAAGCGCGCAACCCAAAGACAGACCCACCATACGGCACGCATTGTCCAGACTCCACCATCAATCCACCCCCACATTATCCATAAAAGTTTTCTGCAGGTGATGTGAATCAATGTGAATCATTTCTTTGCCTGCCTGCAACTCTTTCCCTCCCCTTCCACCTCAATCTCCATCTCCAATTTCGCACATTCATTCCGTCCACGCACATCCAATATTCTCGTGTAGCCGCAGCCCGCACGTCCCAGTCCCAGTCCCAGTCCCACTCATAATTTTGCATATCTCAACCGCAGCCATGATCACAACCCAAAGCTCGAGCCTCAATATCATGGATCCCAAGTCAAATATATACCAGCGCTAACATTCTATTTCCTTACCCCTCGTTCCTTTCGTGACCTTATGAATGTTAAGCGCCCATCTATGTGCTTTCGTATATATAACTATTGATTTTGGAGCGAGAAAAAAATTACGTGAAAGAGGATGAAAAGACTGCCTGGGGCTTAGTGTATTGAAGGTGCAGGTGACAGTAACAGCGAAAAGTGATTGTGTTGGCAATGATTGAATTCCAAACAATTTTGAACACGGTGCTACTCATGAAATCGTATAGTTGCATGTATTGTTCGACTTTCGAGTACTTTCCAATTGCGTAGAAATGGGGATATATAGGAGTGTGATCTCGAACCGAGAAGGATAGGCGAGGGGTTGAAGTGAATGGTGGCGAATTATCAAAGCAGATAGGTACCTAGTTACTGGCAAGAGTCGGCCGCTAACAAGAGCCGACTGTTTAATGATTGGTACATTGCATGACATAATTGTGTCGTGCCATCTTACAAATTCAATGTGGTACCTACTTGACATAAATGTATGCTGGTGCATGCACCTAGGTAGTGAACAGTTGATGCATACCCAGGTATCTAATTCTCGTCAAACTTTTGGTGCAAGAATATTGCTAAATCCCAACAACATTAAGCTCTGTGCTTGAAATTAGCAAGATACATTTACGTAGTGAACAAACAAAGTAGAACTACTGATATCATAGTATTGACCCTCGATTTCCAAATGGCTACTCGACACTAACATGGATATATCGAGTGATTTTTTCAAACTTCACGCAAGTCAAGAAAACAGAAAATACAACAGGACAAAAGGGCATACGGTAGAACACTAGAACAATATTGGTATTCGATATTCAGCTCTGCTTTGCGAAGCAGGCGAAGATAAGTCAGCGTAAAAACGCCAATGAGTATTGATTGATTGATTCCTCCTCCTCAATCAAGGGAGACCAGACCAACCCAACCGGCATTAAAAAAAATGAAGAACTGCAAGCGATATCATGAACAGCGCCATACTGGCCTTTTGTTTGATCGATGCCCGTCCATGCAAATCTTACATCACCATGAAAAGAAACATACCACTGACACACAAATAAGCTCCAAAATACGGAATTTGTGATACTCAAATTATGAGAATTGGATAGCGAAAAGAAGCTAGGTGCATAAATTATAACCTTTAAAATCCACCAATTGGAGCTCGGCCAGGAGGTCCTAGATTTCTAGATGCCCCTCCACTGATAGGGCTCCCAATCTCGCCTGGCGCACCGGCAGAACGGAAGTCATGAGGTATCGAGTCACTGACATAGTGAATTTGTGACTTGCCGTCAGAAGAACGGATCTCAAACGTGCCACCGCCATTCATTTGATTCCCTTCAGTGTCACAAATATCCAGTAATTCCCGTTCAGAAACCGGTTCCTCTCTAGCTGGATTCAGAAGAGCGACCTCATTCTTGATAGCATCAATATCTAACCATCCGTCTTGTGTAGAATTTTGAAGATTCTGACAAGCCATACAAATCATTAATCTCACGGCTACGGAACGCGGTTGAGACGGGCGGAAGTAAGGTGGCATCGCGAAAGAACCATTCATATTGAGACTTGTATTCCATCCCCCACCAAAGCCGTTAGATCCAGGCAGGGAAGAAGATCCAAATGGGATTGGAGGTGCACCCCATGTGCCAAAAGAGCTCATCATACTTGCTGGATCCGAGCGGTCCATACCAAATGGAGGTGGTAAGAAGTTCTGTCTGCTGGGATTACCAGGAGCTGCACTCGAGCGTCGTGCGCCAACTCCATTACTGATAGGCTCATCACTATCATCTAGTAAAGCGCTACTACCAAGATGCTTGCTTGTTTCATCAGATTCACCGCTATTTAATTTATCACTATGGCGAGTGCCGTGAACAATACTAGATGGTCGTCCAATTGGCGTTGGTCTCGCGATAGGCTGAGCTTGTGTTGCCGATGACAATCCATCAAATGAGCCGGACAGATTTCGGGAATGAGTCTGCGAAGTTGGTGTTTCTTTTGGGGCTCCAAAAAGCTGGCCGATACTACCCATCCCGTTCGGAGAAGGTTGTGGAAACCCTGGTGGTCCATGCATAGGGAATCCTCTGCCTTGTGGCATATGATGCATATTGAATCCAGGCTGAAATGGGGGGATGCCACCATTAGGAATTGGCAAAGGACGAAAGTGATTACCCATTCCCTGCTGAAGTCCGAACATTGGATCATGATGCGGTCGGCCGAAACCTGGAGGTACCATTGGCATTCCTGGTTGGAATCCTCCTGGCATGGGTTGCATACCAGCGAATGGACTCTGGGGGATACCTGGAGGACCTTTCAGCGCAGAATGTATTGGAGAAGTGGCCTGTGGGTGTTGTAAGAGAGGATGTTGTATCGGCGTTTTTCCAGGCGGACCTATTGGGCCTGGACTATTTGGTAGAGGGGTTACAGAATTGGGTGATATACTCTGGTATTTACTAGAAGGAGTTCTGGGTATTGAGTAATTGTCTTGCTGAGAGTTTGTCCGAAGCTTGATAGGAGTCGGTGCTTTCGGTACAGCGGGAATAGCGACTGGAATGTGAGGTGAAGCTAAGGCATGACTCAAGTTAGGTGTGGGTACTTGGTTTGTGCGTCTCGAGGCATGCGCAGCAGATTGGGCAGCTTGAACAGCAGCTTGCTGAGCAGTAAGCTCTTCACGTTTCTGTAGCTCTCTAGCTTCTTTGTCAGCCTTGACTTTCGCCTCCTTTTCTCGCTTTTCTCGCTCGTGCTTCTCCTTTCGTTCCTTCGCCTCCTTTTCCTTAATTTCCTTTGCTTCTAGTGCTTGGCGCCTTAGCTCCTCTTTCTCCTTTCTTTCTCGCTCTTTGGCCTCGCGCTGTTTTCGTTCTTGTTCAGCCTGTCGTTCTCGTTGTTCTTGAAGCCGGCGTTGCTTTTCGGCTTCTTTACGCACGCGCTCTTCTTCATCGGCCTTTTTTTGTGCCTCTTTCTTCTTTCGATTCTCCTCTCGTTTTAGTCTTTGGGCCTCTGCTTTCTTTTCCTCAATTTCTCTAAGGGAAGCTTCTTCAGCCGCTCTTTCAGCGTCTTTTCGAGCCTTTTCTTCGGCCATGGCGCGCTTCTTCTCGAGCAACTTCTCCTTTTTCTTCTGTGCATCTTTAGCCCTTTTGGCTTTCTTTTGTGAGTCCGCTCGACTTTCCTCCTCAAGTTCCTCGAGAAGCTTCTGCTGCCGCTCTTTCGCAACTTTTTCTTTGTAAGCTGTCAGAACTCTCTGCTCAAACATCCGAGCAGCGAATATCTGGAACATTCGTCTTCCTTCTTCCATTCGCTGTTCTTCAGTCATGCTATCCTGTTCCATGTTAGTACGTCCAGGATGGTGAATAATAATACCCTCCACGTACCATTTCCTCTTCATCGTAATCCTCTTCCTGGCTGTCATACTCGTCTTCATCATCCTCTTCGTCGTCATACTCGTCTTCTTCTGGCGGCGGTGGGTGATTATGGACATGTCCGTGAGAATGGGGATGCATGGAACCATTTGAAGGATGTCCGTAATTCGCATTAGCATACTGTTCTTTCGCATCTTCCTCTCGAGCCATGCGACGCTCGGCTAGTTGCTCCATCATTTCAATGAACTTCTTCCCATCATTTTTGAGTAGATCATCTGCTACGGTAAGAATTCCTCCTTGCACTGTAAGACTATTACCAAAATTAAAAAAATCCGTGGCGTGACTTCTTGGAATTTCTTCCGGTTCTTCTTCACTGAAATCATCTTCGTCTCCATCGTCTTCACTGTATTCCTCATCTCCTTCTTCATCCTCATCATCGCCAAGTTGCTCTACTATCCTGCCCCTTGAAGGTTGCTGCCCATTAAAAACAGGAGGTAGACGATTGGGAGGCTGTAGGCCGCTCATAGCGCCAAATCGACGTGGGGGTGGCATCATTGGTGGAGGACCATCACCTCCTTGATGGTTTGCATATTGCTCGAGCTCTTCATAGTATGCATCATAAAGTACCTCCAATTCTTCTTCGATAGCAGTGCGTTTGCGACCGCATACCGTGCAACTACAGGAATGCTTTTGTTGCTCCTTCATTTTCTTGAGTACGGCATCCTTTTCCACCTTGACTAACGATTTGCGCTCATCTTCTCCAAGAGATAACCAGAATTCCTTTATCCGCTCGCGTTCTTCTTGTGACGATGTATTCCAGATTTTCTCCTTCGAAATACCCGGCCCTCTTTGCATGCTCGGAGGAGACTGTAAAGGAAGAGGTAGCGATACGTGATTATGCGATGAACCGTTCGGACCGTGGTTTGCGTGATTTGAATGATCCGACTGCGAAGATTTCGACTTCTTTTTCTTCCTCTGTTTCTTACTTGAAGAGTTCGTTGCAGGGATCGCATAGCCGTTTGTCGAGGAGCCATCGTGACCATATGAACCGGAGTACGCATCGCCCTCTTCGTCACTATAATATGCATTATCGTCCGCAGGATCGAATTGTTCGTCATCGTCATATTGTTCATCTAGCCCTGTTTCGCGAAAGCGTGCTTCCAGTTCCTGCATCTGTCTCTTCACGTCCCCAGAAGTTGGTCCACCACTCATTTGAGAGCCTTGTGCTTGTTCCGCGGCAGCTCTAGCAGCCTGTTTCGCCCTTCTTTTCTGCTTCTTGCGATTTACTGTAGGTGCGCCATTGTTTGTGGGAGGAGTGGGCAATTGACCATTTGATTTCGTTGTAGTTTGTGCCATGGTAGGAGATGTCTCAGATGAATCGCTCGTACTAGATTTCTTCGGTGTAGTCACGATCTTTGCAGCATCCTTTGTCAACGGGGTCGCAATGTTCCTAGGAGTCTGCAAGTATGATGACTGGCTTGTATTCTTTCGTTGGTTTGCGGGCATTCCGATGGGGTATAGAGGTGAGAGGGGTCCGGGTAGCGACGACCGTGGCTTGTGATTATTTAGATATGGCTCAACCAACGAAATTCAACGACGGGCCGTATATGTTGAATTATTTTGAAATATCACTTGCAGACTTACTCCAAAGTTGTAGGATTAGTTCTCGCGATTGCCCCACCACAGGTGATTGTTTGCTTCGGGATGAACAATTATGATTTGTGTGGGGGGGGGATGAGGGCTGGTTTATTCAGAGAGTGCGCGTGGAATTAATTTTGGGAGTATGAGAAGTTATTGGCTATGGAGATTTTGGACAAGTCGTTATTATTGAGAGGGCACCGTGAAATCCAGAAGGGGGTTTTGGAAGGGCTTGAAGTTTAAATTGTGGTACGGGTACCTTTACAGGTTATTGAATCTCAAGTGAGGTTGCTGAGTCATCATACCTCAGGCAGGTTATATTATATGGATTTGACGGACCTCCTCGAGCTCTTCCAAGTCTGTACACACTACTTTCAATTCACCACGATCCCATGGTGCATACGATCGCATCACTCCTCAGATTAACATTAACAAGAAAGCTATTTAGGATCAAAATGCCTAAAGCTAAGAGACCACTGTCGACTACAGGCAAGGAGGTGAAGAGGGCAAAGAGAGTAAAGACAGAGGAAACAGCAGTCGAAGAGAAACAGAAACAGGAAGTCAAAACCATCGAAGAAAGAGACGAAGAATCAGCAAAGCATGTAATCAAATCAGGAGACCAGAAATTCAAAGCATACTCTTCCTTTGTAGAGGAATCGCCCTTCCCCGGGTTCAAACATCCAACGCCAAGAGAGTGTGAAGTGGCAAATGAAGTACTCCAGGAAATGCATGGAGAAGAAGTAGCGAAAGAATTCGAAGACGAAAATACACCAGAGACAATTCCACACGTATTGGATGCAATGATCGTTGCAATATTAAGTCAAGCAACGAGTTGGAGTAACGCCAAAAGAGCAATGAATTCAATGAAAAAAGTGTATGGCTCTATATTCGCTTACGAGAAGATCATGGAAGGCGGTAAGGATAAATTACAGGAGACCATTCGATGCGGCGGACTGCATGTCAGAAAATCGATGATCATTATGACGATTCTGAAACAGGCAAAGGAGCGTCACGGCAAATGGGATCTTGATCATATGTTCGAACTGACTGATGAGGAAGCGATGAAGGAATTGCTGGCTTTCTCGTATATTGGTCCTAAATCCGCTTCGGTCGTCATGGGTTGGTGTCTCAAACGCAATCCTTTCACCGTCGACACCCACGTCTATCGCATCGCCGGACTATGGGGCTGGCGTCCTTCGACTGCGACCCGTGAGAAGACGCAATCTCATCTTGAACTGATGATTCCCGCTAGATATAAATTCAGTCTTCACTTTCTTTTGATTCAGCATGGCCGATCGTGTCCTGCCTGTATTGGAGGAAGCAAAGGTGGAAAGAAATGTACCGCTGCTGCCAAGATGAAGGCACTTCTGAAATGAATATATTTGAATATAAATTGTCTAAGAAGGTGTTACTTCAAACAAAGTTTAATCAGAAAGCAATCAGACCATTGCTTTTGGTATAATCACTCAGGGTCTGTTTCTAGTAGGTTGAATTTCGAACTTGATTTCTATGGATGACAAGAATATCCTTTGAAGCATTGAATTATATTCTTTAATGTGGGTTGAGCTTCTTCTGACTGATCATCATCGTTGCCATTTTCTGTGTCTGCTTGGGGTTGATTCATGGAAGTACACGTTGGTTCTCCTCCACTCAGCTCTAAAGATCATACTGGTCGTATGGCGTAAGAAAGATTAAGCTGCAAAGTGAGTCGATTGACAGGGCATGGAGAGGAATGACCGGTGGAATAAGAAGTGTAGAATGCTTTGAGTCCTTCCCTTGCGTGAATACATTTTCCGAGCTGGATTGCAGGTGTTCGGTGTAATTACATTCGCTGTAACAGGACTGAAAAGTGCGAGAATAAGAATTGGCTTTCTAGTAGAGCGCGATACTTTTTTACCGTCAAAGCGTGTCAAAAATGCACCTGCTACGATGGTTGCGTATGCTCCTAATGTTGATGATTGAGTGACTTTGGCTTGCGCAGAACAGGAAGAGAGTTGTGCTTCCAATTGAGACTCCAGATCTGCCTTGGCTTGTGTCGTGGTGGTCAGGACACTTTGGTTCTCCAAAGAAACTCCCACCGTTCTCAGTCGCTCTGTAATTCATCAATGCTACTCTCGAGCTCTGAAATCGTATTCTTCAGCTCACTTGCTTCGGTCTCGTACTGCTGTATGGCGTATTATCTTGGATTAATCTACTGCAATCAAGAGATGGTGCCTATTTAACTTGAGCTATCGTGTGGTTATGCGATCAAAATTTCAGCTCTTTTTGTTCTGTTGACTTCGTTCTCAGTGGGAAAAGACTCATTCTATAGTCTCGCAACAGACCCTTATCTCTTTTCTTTGGCTAACTTGGCGGGCGCAAGAGAAAGGGTCTGGCGAACAATCATACAATAATGCTGATGTTCGTTCTGATGGTGGAAAGCTTTCTAAAAGAACTTTGTAAATTCAAAGCTTCTGGGTGACTGACAATGTTCAAATTGAAGCTCAAAATCTTGACCGTTTGATTTGATATCAAATATTGAAAATGATGATGAGCTTTTGGTGTGAAGTCTGTTTCGTTCACATGAGAGGAACCATACCTGCGTCCATCCTAACGACAATTTCTAATATTGAAGTATGGAGGAGTCTGGATTTTGAAGAATGACATGGAACTCAACTTGCTATATCGCCGCTAGATATTAGGTATTCATTTCATCACTTGTCGCCTTCGCCTTCGCCCATAGCAATCAAACCCTCGATATTGTCAGTGATCTTTGACGTTTGAATACGGGTGAGAATGTTTAGTCAATTTGTTCTGATAAATGATGATTGGACTAATAAGAATACCTAGGAATAGAATCAATAGAATACTCTTGAAAGTATCCCCTAGACTGCTAGCTCATAGCGCTAATGTAGCTCGTAAATTATAAAAACGTTAATAGTTTTTTAAATAATATCATATATAAAGATCTTTATATTATATTTAAATATTATAATTCATTAAAAATGAAAATAAATATTTTAAATATTTATTAAAAAGAAAAAAAGTATATAAGAGATTATATAAAAGTTTCAAAGTATACTATTTATTTTCATCAAAATAATAAGTATTGAGTAATTATTATCAAAAACGAATTAAAATGATAAGAATTCTCAAGATCCTGATGTTTTGATTGGTCAATTAAGTAGTGGCGCTCCGAGTTGATAGTCTCTACGTAACCGAAAAAAGCGGCGGAAATTGACCACCATTCAAAAGAATTTCAACAACTAAAATCTCTTCTCGATATAATATTAAATAATGAAAATACTTAGTACCAATACAAAAAAGACTAAAATTTTCGTTGAGTTTTTTCAAATTTCAATATTTAATTTGAAATGAATTTATAATCTATTAAAAAAGATCTTTGAAAGGATACTCAATTTGCGCCGCTTTTTTCGGTTACGTAGAGACAGTCTAGGGGATAACGTCACTGGGTACTATGTAAGGTAAATGTCATCCCGATCCTTGTTCTCATCACTCCAACCAAGCACCCATTCAACGATATATTGGAAAGAGGGTCATTAAGACACATTGCGTTGCTTGAAACCACTTTTATTCCCAATGTAGTCGGAGCAATAATTGGCTCTCTTTTACGAGTAGGTATAGCCAGGCTGGTTTTCAACCGAATTCTAATCTGATCCCTATCGAAATATACTCCGGACAGGGCGGGACGTTTGCTTTTCCCGATTACTTCTAGTCGGTTTTTGGAATGATCAGATAATTATTAAGCTGTCTCCACGGTGGCCCCCGGAGCCTCCGAAAGAACGAGCCAGCGGACCGGCCATTCTTTATGAAGGTTCTATCGCTTTCGTGCCGGATAAAATGAGCATTATTGGAATTATTGTTGAACTGATTGACCGACCGACTGACTGACTGTCTGACTGTCTGGGTAGTAGGTACCTACCTATCTAGTATCTACACAATCTTGCTATGAAAAGGGGGCCTCGCTTTACTCGATGGAGTAGATGATATAACCATCAACCTAATTGTAAATCTATATGCCTCCCAAATTCTTACACATAGCTTATAGTACTCCAAGATCTATTGTATTGTATGGAGATATATCCGAGTTAAATCTCATGGGAGCAAGCCCCCAAACCCCCATTAGCTCGCTGCGCTCGAAGAAAGGGACGTACAGGACAAGTTAGCTAAAAGCTTTCTAGTTCTCTTACAGTAATACCTACGTACATCTCCATATCCGTTAAGTGGATTGATTGATTGATTGATTACATAGCATTACAATGGCCTACTTAATAAGTACTCCAAGTGCTTAATGTACTCCAAAGTTCTAGAACGGATTGGAACCTCGATCATTCATCGTCTACATTGCACATGCATACCAGGTATATAAAACAGTTCATGAAAAGTAAGTATCACAAAGGTACTTGCAAGTACTCAAGGGTTATTCTACATTTCCCTTCAATTTGACCTGCGTCTTTATCTTCATCTTCATCTACATCTTCTGCTTTAGTTGTCACCAAGTATCAGGTATTTAGTTTAAACCTTCTCTCGTCTCTCATCTCTCATCTCTCCTTATCTCACTCCTTGCTGTGCCTCTTCAATCTCCATCTAAATCATACCATACAGAGATAGAGAGAGAGAAAGAGAGAGAGAGAGAGAGAGAGAGAGTACTTCGGAATCCACTAATTCATCTGCACTAAGGTTAATCATCATCATACCTGGGGGTATCATTCACATGCATGGATTCTTAGAAGGTTTGTGAATTGCTTTTTTCTCTCTTCAACCCGCCTCTCGCCCAACTACTCTTCAGCTCCATCACCCGTTCAGCCGTTTATCTGGATTTCGCTTGATAACATGCGAGCATGCCAAAGATTGGACACTTTTTCTTC